GCCGCCCCGCCCCTCCCCTCCCCTCCCCCGGGCCGGCCGCCCCTCCCTCCCTGCCTCCCTTGCGCGGGGAGCCGCCGGCGTCGGGCGCCCCCCGGGGGCAGCCTGCGCCGGGCCCGGGAGCCCGCCCCAGGGAGCAGCTGAGGGGGGCCCTGGAGCAGCCGGCCCTGGGGCGGCAGGCTTGGGGCCAGTCTGCTCTTGGAGGGGTTGGAGCGGGACTGGCCCTGCAGGCCACCAGCCCCTTCTCCTTGCGGGGCGGAGGAGTCTCTGCCTGCCCCTTAGCCCAAGGCCCTTGGGCACTGGTGTGTGGGCGCCTTGGGCTGGCGCTGGCCCATGCGAGCTCTCCTCCAGTCAGCCCCCTTTCCTCGCCCAGCCCGGTGACAGGAATGGATCCGTTGGGTGTTATGCCCCTGTTGGTGAAAGTGTAAAATCAAACCACATTAATAGCTAAACTTCAGGAGTCTTGCTTCAGGTGGTGTTAGTGGCACAGGCAAAGGATTCACTTTAAATGCATGGGGTTTGTTCTGAAAGTGTCCTTTTAAAACAATTCCTATACTTATTTCATTTCACAGTGTTTCTGAAAAGTAAAGGTGGTATATACACTGAAGACTTGCCAGGAACCTCTAGAGCCCTGTGAACACTTTACAGATCAAAGTGGCTTATAAGTTATTGAGTGCCCGTGGTGTGCATGGTACTGTACATAAACAGGTTCTGTGCCCCAAGGAGGTCACAATCTTAATCATATATATACACACAGTACTGCAGGGATAGTCAGTTATTTTTTTGCCAAGGTCCATGTTTCTTGGGCAAGGTCTAGTTAAGGTCCAGATTCCAGACAAGAGTGTAATAAAAATAACATTAATGATGAACAGCAAATAAAAAGATTTGAGGGTCTGTTCAAAAGCATCTGGCAGTCTGGATTTGGTCCCCCCAGTCCACCTATTGACTACCCCTGCAGTACTGTACAATATGATAGATTGGTGGGTACAAACCTAAAGCAATATGTACATGTCTGCTGCATATTCACAAAACAACATTCTGTGGCTTTACTGATACATCTTCAGTTATTCAGGTGTGATCACCACTACAGTACTTTGCCTGCTCTGTGATGTTCTGCTCTATATATGTTTTTATATAACGATCATCTCCTTGGTATCTGAGTGTTTTTTCTATGTGTATGTTATGTGATGTTCATTCTCTTTCCAGAGGGAGAAGCATGTGGAGTTGTCTTTTCTTTTTTTTTTTTAATATACCTGTTGCTGTGTGTTTAGATTAGAGAAGGCAAGGTCAAAGAAATGTGCCTTGCAGTTGGCGGGGAAAGTGATGAGGTTTGTGTTAGTCCTTAGTTTCTGGAGTAGTTTATTCCACAGTCTCGGATCACCCCTGGAGAAGAGTTCTATTGTGCCAGAGGAGTGAAGTTGCTGACCACGGTCTTTGTCCCAACCCATTAAATGGTCTTTTAAGTGTGCTGGGCCCAAGATATGGAGTGCTTTGAAGATAAGGACTGAGACCTTGAAAATGATTCAAAATTCAGTGAGAGGCCAGTGAAGAGAGCAGAAGACAGGTGTGATGGTAGTCTGTGTTGCTGAGGAGGTGCGCTGCAACTGTTTGTAGTAGTTGGAGTTTCCTAAGTGCTGAAGGTTTTGTGTTCAAGTATTTCCCTTTGCTGTAGTCCAGCCAAGAAGTGATAAAGGTGTGAATCTTTACCTAGGGAGGTGGTAGAATCTCCTTCCTTAGAAGTTTTTAAGGTCAGGCTTGACAAAGCCCTGGCTGGGATGATTTAATTGGGGATTGGTCCTGCTTTGAGCAGGGGGTTGGATTAGATGACCTCCTGAGGTCCCTTCCAACCCTGATATTCTATGATTCTATGAATAACTGAGGCTAGGTCTTCATCTGCCAAGATAGGTTGGAAAGCATTGGTCCCAGATGTTAAAAAGCATTACTTATGGACATTGCAATGTGAGAGCTCAGTGTCAGCAAGGAATTCAGAAATAGTTCTAGACTACGGACTGAATTGGCCAAGTTGGGGTGTGGACTTTCCGTCAGAGTGCACCATAACTGCAAACTCTTCAAAATTCTTTCTTCTGCCTACAAGCATCACTTCTGTTTTTCTCAGGTTCTGATTCAGCCAATTGATCTCATCAAGCATTGTGCCATCTTGGTGGCAGTAGTGGTGTGCTCGTATACCGTGAACGATAGGTAGAGAGTTGTGTGTCAGCTGCATATTGCTGGCACGTGAGTCCATGTTGACTAACCGGTTCATCTAATGGTTGCATATAGATGCTGAAAAGGACCGAAGAGAGATTTGATCCTTGTGGAACCCCATGAATGAGGGGTCTAGTAGGGTGGCGGTGCAGTTTTACTATCACTGCTTGTTGGGTGCATCCCTCTAGGAAGGACTCAAACCATTTTGGCACATTACCCTAGACTCCTGTCACTTCTCTCAAGTGACACTCTTCCCACGTGCTGAACCTATATGCTGGCAGCTCGGTCTGTAAGGCGTTATACCTGGACATGTAAGTGTCCGCCAGGTGCGACTAGCAATAAAAGTCTTGGGCTTCCCAGACCTTCTCATTGTCTTGCAGCAGTAATTGAGGAGGGAAAACAAACCATATGGGTTGTATTGCTTTCCAGTACTCCGAATGGTAACATTCCTAAGTCCGCCCCCACCCCCACACATGTAACTTAATGGTTTGGACCCTTGTTCAATATTTTTTATCCTGCACCAATTAGGGTTACCTCCCTTGTACCAAATTTTTACTTCTCTGTGGTGATAAAAGGACATTTTTTCTTGCTTTATATCACTTCAGGCCACTTTTATTTTGTATAGCATGTGTCTTCCATGTACTGCATGTTACTGCTTTTGTTTTTTGCCTTATATGGTAACAAATTAACTTTATCTTGTACTTTATTGTAAACAGTTACATTGTATATTATATACAGTTAATAAAGTGTCATTAATGAGCCCTTGGTTTTACTCATTCAGTGCATGCTGCTAGCTTCTACTGAAATGCCTTGTCATGTTCCTCCAGCGTATCTATGTCAGCTTGGTTTCAGAGTGACATACCAGTCTAAAACAGCTCAGCTCCCGTGCTGATCCTGTCAGGTTTCCTCCCATTATGTTGCTGCCCCATCTCAGCGGGTTTATACATTTTAAAGTTTAAATTTTTCTCCATAAAGTTCTTTCAACAGTTCTTTAACCATTTTTGACCAGTTTCAAGTTGGCACAATTCTTTAGATGGCTGCAGATCGGTAAAAGTTAATAACACTGGCATATAAATAAATTGAATATTATTATACTGTATTTCCTTAATAGATTTAACCCTGAGGGTGTCTACACTGGCAAAGTTACAGGACTGGCAGTTACAGTGCCTCTTAGAGAGCACTGAAGGGAAACCTCTGTTGTGTGTTCACACTGTCAGCTGCCTGCACAATAAGCACGTTGGCACTTGCAGTGGTATTCAGAGCGGTGCACTCTGGGGAGCTATCCCACAAAGCAGGTCTTCCTTTTCTGCCGCTAAGAGTTGTGGGAAGGCGGAGCGGGTCGTGGGGCATCCTGGGTCCTGTCTCAATGCCCTGTGATGCATCGTTTTGCATCCCAGCAATCCCTGTGCTTCCATCTGCATTTGGGGCTATCTTTCAACGGTTTGCATACTGTGCGCTCTCTGCCTCTTCGGTCTGCAGGAATGGATCCCAAACTGTTGACCAGTATGCTGCTTGCTCTGACTAACACGTCATCATGAGTGGCAGTGGAGTTATTCCTTAAACGGCAAAGGCAAGAGGAGTGCAACATTGATCTCGCTATGACACGAGATTCCTTGTGGCATTCATGAAGGTGCTGACCACAGTGGAACGCCACTTTTGGGCTCAGGAAGCAAGCACTGAGTGGTGGGATCACATCGTGATGCACGTCTGGGATGACGTGCAGTGGCTGCAGAACTTTCGCATGAGGAAAACCACATTCATGGGGCTGCACGTTGAGCTCGCCCTAACCCTGCTGCACAAGGACATGAGAATGAGATCTGCCATTGGAGAAGCATGTGGTGATTGCACTGTGGAAGCTGGCTACTCCAGACTGCTACCGATCGGTCGCTAACCAGTTCGGAGTGGGAAAGTCGACTGTTGGACTTGTGTTGACGGAAGTGTGCAGGGCCATTAATCGTATCCTACTCCAAAAGACCGTGACTCTGGGCAGCGTGCATGACATCGTGGATGGCTTTGCACAAATGGGCTTCCCTAACTGTGGAGGGGCAAGAGATGGCATGCATATTCCAATTCTGACACCAGACCACCTAGCCACCAAGTGCATTAATTGCAAGGGGTGTTTCTCAATGGTTCTCCAGGCACTTCTGGATCACTGTGGGTGTTTCATAGACATTAATGCAGACTGGTCTGGAAAGGTGCATGACACACGCAACTTCTGGAACACTGGCCTGTTCAGGAAGCTGCAAGCAGGGACTTCTTCCTGGACTAGAAAATCACCATAGGGGAAGTCTAAATGCCCATTATGATCCTGGGAGACCCTGCCTACCCCCTAGTGCCGTGGCTTATAAAACCATACACGGGGCACCTTGACAGCAGCAAGGAGCAGTTCAAGAACAGGCTGAGTAAGTGCAGAATGACTGTTGAGTGTGCTTTTGGCCATAATATGAGTGTGCTTTTGGCCATAATATTTGTGGAGGGAAGGGTGAAAGCTTCACTCAGGGCTGGACTGTTGAGGCTCAGCACCTGGAGGCTGAGTTTGAGCAGCCAGAGACCAGGGCTATTAGAGAGCTGCAGCGCAGGGTCTTAAGGTTCAGGGATGCCTTGAGGCAGCAATTTGAAGCTGAAAGCCACTAATATTTGTTGCTATGCTCGGGAGTGCGGTGCTTGTAATGCTAGGAGGTGATTGCGATTGATGCAGACGATGCAATATGAAGGTTTAAGATAATTGTCTGTTGCTTTGCAGGGCTCTGTTTGTTTGTTTTCAGTTAACAGAATAAAGATTGCTTTCAAACCAACACAATTCTTTTATTAAAAAACAGCCGGAGAGAGTCAAACAAAAAAACACATCAGCACTGAGCGGGATGGGGAAGGGAAGGTCCCAGGAAGAGGTGGGGTACCGGGATGGTTAAAGATTTATGCATGTCCAGGGATCCTATCCAGCCTTCTCCTTTGGAGTACAGTGCAGGGGGTACTGTACTTCAACAGGGCCAAACTGCAGAGGGATGGCTGTTGAGTGCAGTGGGAACGGGGGGTCCGCAGTGCTGTACTGTGATGGGGAGGAGTGGAATGCTGCGGGTGCAGACTGGAACCAGGAGATTGATAAGAGTGTTCTGGTGGTGTCTGGGGGGTGCATGGGAAAGAGTTCTGTGACAGTGGCTGCAGGGGAGTGCGGGTGCGGAGCTGCTTGTTTTGCAATGCTAGTATCAGTTGGACCATGTCTGTTTGGCGCTCCGTAACGTTTAAGAGCCGCTCCATTCTGGCTTGCTGCATTCTCCTTTCAGTCCCTCTTCTCGCTGTCCTGACACTCCTTCAATTCCTGTTTTTCTGCCGCAGAGTGCATCATAATATCATGCAGAAGTCCTCCTTAGTTCTTCGTGGCTGCTTCCTAATTCCACGCAGCCGTTCAGCTGGCGATAACAAAGAAGGAGGCTGGGATCCTAAGGTCATCTCTGTGAAGCCAAAATGCAACATTTTACAGAAGCAGTATTGTTTTCAAAACACAGAACACTGATTTAGTGATTTAAAACACAGCCACTATTCACATACCTGTCACTAACTGGCTGACCCCAGGCAAGCAGACATGAGCCACAAGACCCCCAAAATGGTGAGTAGCCTCAGGGGCAGGGTAAATCACTGTTCCCGGACCCTACTGTACACTGGGCACGTGGCCCTTGGGGATAGCCAGCACTGTATGAGGGGCCCTGAAAATCATTCCTGTCCCCACATTTTCCTCAGGCTGTGTTCATTATGGAAGATATCTCGTGGCTGAGGGTGAGCAGGGAATCAAGGGAGGGTCTTCTCCATGACTGTGGCTTCTGCCTGGCCCTTTTGTGGCTTGCCTGTGTGCACCAGTGGTCCCACCGTGACGGCAGAGTGATGTGGGAAACTTACTGTTATTGGGGCAAGAAACAAAGAAGCTCTGCCAAAGAACCTGCAGCAGCAGATGCTAAGTTTCTCAATGAGAGTTTCCCGGAGGTTTCTGAGGCAGATTCCCATGAAGTGAGGGAGTTAATCAACAGCCTGTTCCGCCGCTCAGACTAGGCATGTGGTGGTACACACATCATACAGGCACAAGTCTGCTTTCTGCAACCCTCCTGACCCCAACAACTTGTTTTAGCAATTCCCAAAATCAAATCCATTTACCAGGGGCCTCCTCTCTTGTTTGTGCTTCTCCAAGATCCGAGGGCTGTGACTGGCTAGCTTCTTCCGGGGTAGAAAAGAGCTCCTGGCTGCATGCATCTCTGACCTCTGCCTCTGGGTCCCCGTGCCCCTCAACATCGAAATCCAAGATTTCCTCGTCCTGGCTCAGTCCACTCTCGACTGGCATGTGAGCCACCAAAGTATCCACAGTGGCCTTTGCAGTGGAGGTGGGGTTGCCACCGAGTATTGCGTCCAGCTCTTTGTAGAATCGGTAGCTCATGGGCGCAGCACTGGAGCGGCAGTTTGCTCCACAGCTCCTTCACTTTGACTCTGCATGGCAGTGTGTTCCGGTCATGGCCCCTTTCTGTCATGCTTCGTGAAATCTGGCCATAGGTGGTATAATTCATGTGGCTGGAACACAGCTGGGACTGGACAGCCTCCTCTCCCCAAATGCCCGATGGGGTCCAGCAGCTCAGCATTGCTCTAAGAGGGGGATCGCTTGATGCATGGAGCAGGCATGGTCACCTGGAAAGATGCGCTGAGACCACTGCACGCATCACCGAGCAAACAGAAAGGAGACTTCCAAATTTCAAAGGAATTTACAAGCTGGTGATGACGGTTGGTCACTTGTGGGCAGGGCAGTAGAGTTCAAACCGATGACCAGAGAGGCAAGAACAGATATTGTGGGACACCTCCTGGAGGCCAATTGCAGTGCTGTAATCGACCAGGGTGTCTACACTGGCCCTGCAGTGCTGTACTCCTGGCGCAGAAAGCTGTACACCTCTCATCGGGGTGGTTTTTTTACAGTGTTGCAACTGCGCAGTTTCTGTGCACTAAGTGGCTTGGCAGTGTGTGTGCCTCGGGAGTTACAATGCAGAAAGCTGCTTTACTGCACAGAAACTTGCCAGTGTAGACAGGGCCTAAGTCATTTGGACCTGTTTCCAGTTTATGGCATATCAATCTTTTTTTTTTTTTGTACTATTTTTAGTTTTACCTGAAGTGTTAAAATAAATATTTTTAAAAATACATATTTTTAAAATTTGTACAATTGATTCAAAATATTAATTCCTAGTTTTAATACACGTTTTTTTTTTTTCAATTTACAAAACATCACCATATGGTTTTTCACTTCCTAGTAACATTTACTTCACACTACATTTGAACAGAACTTTTGGGTAGGATTTTTAATGTTGAGATCTGTTTCTTATACTTAGTGAATTTCTTCGGTGCTGGATTGGTTTTTGCTTCCAAAGCACATTAGTCATCTGAAAAAGAAAACACAATCAGTTGTAGCCCCTCTTTGGTGCCCTTGCAGATTTTGTGCCAGCAATGCCCTTCTCCCAGACAGTCCCTACGTAAAAGAATAAATGGACACAAATCGGACATCAGGAATGGTAACATACAAAAGCCAGTAGGAGAACACTTTAATCTTCCTGTACATTCTATAACAGATTTAAAAGTGACTATACTTGAACAAAAAAACTTCAGAAACAGACTTCAAAGAGAAACAGCAGAACTAAAATTCATTTGCAAATTTAATACCATTAATTTGGGCTTGAATAGAGAATGGGAGTGGCTGGCTCATTACAAAAGCAGCTTTGCCTCTCCTACGGAAAGGATGTGGACAAATTGGAGAGATTCCAGCAGAGGGCAACAAAAATTATTAGGGGTATGGGGCACATGACTTATGAGGAGTGGTTGAGGGAACTGGGGTTATTTAGGGCATGGCTACACTTGCAGATGTAGAGCGCTTTGAGTTAAACCAGCCTTTGGAGAGCAGAATAGGGAAAGTGCTGCAGTCTGTGCACACTGACAGCTTCAAGCGCACTGGTGTGGCCACATTTGCGGCACTTGCAGCGGTATTGGGAGCGGTGCATTATGGGCAGCTATCCCAGCATGCAAGTGACTGCAACGTGCTTTTCAAATGGGGGTGGGGTGGGGTGGAGTGTGACAGGGAGTGTGTTGTGTGTATGTGGGGGGAGAGAGTGGGTTTTTGTGGAGCTGAGAGAATGTCAGCATACTCTCTTGTAAGTTCAGACAGCAGCAGACCCCCTTCACCCCTCTGCCTCCCCCTCTCTCTCACAGCATTCCACGCTAATGGTTGCTTTGTCTCGGAGCAGATAAGCATACTGGCTGTCAGAAACGGAGCTTTCAAAGGGCATATCCGCATTCCTGCAGCGGTTCCAAAACAATGACAAGAGTGGCCACTTGATTTAAGGGGATTATGGGACATTTCCGGAGGCTGATCAGAGCGTAGTAATGCAACACCTCGTTCACACTGGCACTGCAGTGCTCCAGCGGGGGCGCAGCAAATGTTATTCCACTCGCCGAGATGGAGTACCAACAGTGCTGTAGCCACGGAATCAGAGTGCTCTACGTGCCTTGCCAGTGTGGACAGGTAGTGAGCTAGTGCGCCTGGGGCTCCTTTATTGTGCTGTAACTTGCAAGCGTAGCCAAGCCCTTAGTCTGCAGTACAGAAGAGTGAGAGGGGATTTGATAGCAGCCTTCAACTACCTGAAGGTGGGTTCCAAAGAGGATGGAGCTAGGCTATTCTCAGTGGCAGATGACAGAACAAGGAGCAATGGTCTCAAGTCGCAGTGCGGGAGGTCTAGGTTGGATATTAGGAGAAACTATTTCACTAGAAGGATGGTGAAGCACTGGAATAGGTTACCTAGGGAGGCAGTGGAATCTCCATCCTTCCAGGTTTTTAAGGCTTGGCTTGACAAAGCCCTGGCTGGGATGATTTAGTTGGTGTTGGTCCTGCTTTGAGCAGGGGGTTGGAGTAGATGACCTCCTGAGGTCTCTTCTAACCCTAATCTTCTATGATTCCATGACATTCTTATAAGTAAGCTGGAGAAATGCAGGCTCAGTGGAACTACCATTAAGTGGGTACATAATTGGTTAAACAACCACAAACAGAGTAACTATTAATCAAAGGATGGCAGATTGGAAGGAGGTCTCAAGTGGAGTTCCACAGGGATTTGTTCCGGATCCAGTGAGAGAAGATGAGATCTATTTAATTTTAAAACCCTGGAGGATATGGGGTCAGATCTTAGGGGCCTAAAGATGATCAGGCATCTGGTAGGATTTTCTAACATAATAACCAGCACCTGAGGCTCCCCATTGGGGGTTAGACTAGATGACCTTTGCAGTCCCTTCTAACTCTGTGGTTCTAAGTTCTTGTTTAGTGTAATAGTCCTTATTGTGAACAGAGATTATAGGGAAAACATTCATGTGTACCCCATGACAGTGTAAAAATACACATGATAACTAAGACTTAAGTTGTATAAATACTCCTGACAGGCAGAAGACTCAGTAATTCATACTCTTCTACCTCCATTTTTCATAACTTGCTCGGTCACTGTCTCTCCATTTAGCAAATACTTAATAGCAGAGCACTATAAAGAGGTCTAACATCTATTTTGCAAAAAATATTGAAAACCGCTCACTTACTAGAACTATGAAGTTATAATTTATAACAGTGCTTGTCTCAAAATATATTTTATTAGTTTTTTTCCTTGCTTACTAATTCAAGGAATCTCCCAGCCATCTGCTTGACCTTTCCCTATTTGTACATGTCAGGAAATGGAAACCAAAGGAGGACCTGCATGTTCTGCTTCCTTGTCAAAAGAGAATAAAATTTCTTTTAGCGTATGGGGAAACGAACTTTCTTTGTTTTCTCATTTCAGTAAAAAGTCCCAAAAGTGGGATGAAATGAACATCCTAGCTACGTACCATCCAGCAGGCAAGGACTATGGTTTAATGAAAATAGATGAACCAAGCACTCCCTACCATAGGTAAACTCACTTAAACATTCTTTAATAATAAATGTAGTGACGCAATACTTGACTACACCTAAGTAGTTTAGCAGCGTACTTAAGCTTGTGAATGATACTGTATCTGCTAGAACTATAGCTGACTGCATGACAGGGTTCAGGTAATCCATCTGAATTGTAAGTGATGAGTTAATGAGAGTTGGATGAGACAACAGTAACTTAGGGTACATTTGGAAGTATGTTACATGTTTTAAACAAAGGCTTAGGGTGAATATTTTGTAGCATTTTTAATGGGGATAAATTGATGTTGAGAGGCTTTAAATGTTTTAAGCTTTACACATTTTTGGAATTCTATCTGTAGATTACATTGCAGGGTCTTGCAATGAATAGACTTAGTATCTGTGTAACAGGAAACAAAACTGTTTGCATCAAAATATTTAAACCAGAAAAAGAAAAACCTGGAATTGAGTTTTAAAGGAATAGTTGAACTGAAATAAGTAAAGCTGTCTAATGTCTGCGCTACTGATCAAAATGTTTATCAGAGATAGTTTAGAATTAATTCTCTTGCATGTTTGTCTTTCTAGTATGGTTGGAGAGGACGATGAAGATGCAGTGAGTGATTCAGAATTGAATGAACCTGTAACAGCAGATGTGTTAGCTAAAAAGTAAGTGGTGCTGGCAATAGAATATTGACAAAGTTTGAAAATTGTCTGTCTTCAGAGTAATTTCTTGGTTTCGGGTAGATGTTACTGTTTTTATTAAGAGCTGGATTTTGCTATGACTACTCATGCTGAGTAGTAGCTTCCTATGCAAGTGACACCATTGAAAACAAAACTTTTTGCAGAGTAAATTCGAACTGAACTTGAGACACTAGTCCTAAATGATGGACAAAAGTATCTTTATGTATACCAGAAGGTTTTTTATGTATACATACAAGCTGAGTACTTAATTGTTATGAGATGTTGATACTCTGCTTCAGCACGTCTTCGTGTACGTTTTTGTTAGGTTAGTGGCAGCTGAAGGTAAAGGACCCAAGATTCTAGCTCAAGAAGAAGAGCGCAGGGAAGAGGAGGAGGAGGATGAGGATGAAGAGTTAACGCCTGAAGAACGAGGTAGGTTTTATTTTTTCTGTTGTTGAATAGTTTTTCTTTCAGTAAGAAATGTCTGAGGAGGAAGAGATGTACCATCCATCAGAAAGATGCTGTGATCTGAAAATGGAGAAACAGCTCTCTGGAGGTAACTTAGATTCCTTGTTAACTTGGATACTTCCAAATTTGGTTTGATTAAATTGCAGCTACTAAACTAGTCTGGGAGCAAGTGCATAAAGATCAGGCTCACTTGTCTTGGAGGAGCTCTTGTAAGATGAGGGTAATGGGAGTAGTTTCCACAAATGCTAGTGTATTGACCCAGAGATGGTTTTATTTTGGAAGGTTACCCCTTAATCTGCACACCTTTCAGTTGGACTTAATTAGGGCTGTCAAATGATTAAAAAATTAATCGCAGTTTTAATTGCACTGTTAAACAATAATAGAATACTATTTAAATATTTTTGGGTGTTTTCTACATTTTCAAATATGTTGATTTGAGTTACAACACAGAATACAAAGGGTACAGTGCTCACTTTATATTGTTTATTACAAATATTTGCAATTAAAACTGATTAATCACCATTAATTTTTTAATCAGGTTAATTTGTTTTGAGTTAATCGCTTGAGTTAATGGCGATTGACAGCCCTAGACTTTATCACTAATACCTGTCTATTGCTATCTGTATAGCACTTTTACCTCTCAATGGGCAGGAAAAGCAACTACACTTTCCAGCCAATGTAATTCCATGAATCAGCTGGAAGAGGGAGCTAGCAGGCTATCCATAGCGATTCCTCAATAGGTTGTTTCAGTATAGCTTTAAAGCAGACACTACTCTGAATTAACTTGGACTATAGCATTTTAACAGAATGGTCAAGCCGTGAAACATCTTGGGTTTCAAACCCAGGTGTTTGATGTAGACTGCAGAGAGGTATTGCTGTTTCTCATTTTTTCTGGTCCCACTTCTCCATTTCTAGAGTGTGAACTTTCAGTTTCACTTCTGACAAGGAAGTTGAAGCTGTACTTGGGGCTGCCAAGAAGCAAAGATTAATATGATTGTGGTGAATTGTCATACCCTAACCAGGCATCTATTTCATAGGGAAAAACTACGGCACATGTTCAGAGGTTGGGATCTTAGGGAAGGGTGGAAAGAGGTTTTCTTCTACGATAGGAAAATATGCCCCTGGTAGCTGCCTCTTGGCAGTTAGCTGGCAAGCAAGTTAAGCCAGCTCTAGGGCTTGATCTGCTGGCCTCTGCAGTGATTTGTTCAAGTTCTCTATAGGACTAAAGAGAAGTTAGACTTGCATCACTTAATAGGGGCAGGTATGCCGTTGCATTCCCCGAATGAAAAGTTCCCATGTGTTTTTTGTTTGGTCCAGATTTCATCACTTATGTTTGGTGAG